CTTATGAAGCGAAAAAGATGACTTAAGAAATTCCACATGAGTAGAGTAACACCATTTTTTTTGTACTTTTCTTTTTGCTATCGAACTTTTGTGAAGTTTAACAAACTTAATAGCAACAAACCATAAAACTTTGCTGTAAATGTTCACAAGTTTAATAATGTCATCATATAAATACTTTTAAATACGTTTTCACTAGTATTTAACTTTGTTAACTGTCTGTATAGGTGGAAAATACTAATAGACTAAGAGCTGGTGAACGCCAGATTTTTTACATCATTTATAAAAGCTGAAAGTTTGTCAATATACATAGATTACAATGGTGGTGCATCATGAAGGCGTCATCGTGGCTTTAGCAGCTACCCTCAAAAGATTGTCTGGCAAGGAGTTGGAACTGTCAAAACTATCTGGCTGATAAGAAAACAACTACTAATAATTGCCCAAATACTATACATAAAAAAATCAGCTTTTAGTCGCTAGGCGTTCACTAGCTCTTAGTCTAAAGCTTCTTGCGCTTACTATCCATCCATTTATCCTTTATTAATCTAAGCTGATGTATAATAAATACAGCGTCAAATCTATAGGCTTTTCTATCTACGAGTACAGTCATAAATAATAATGGGTACACTTTTTGAACCGTACCGTCCCCGAGGTATGATTTAATTATTTACCCCAAGTGGCTGGGGCGGGCTAAACAACCGAGTTTTTGATTCCCTTTGAAGTTGTCCAGTTATGATAACTAGTTTGTTTATTCTGATTCTGTGAAGGCTCATGCGAGTGGCTATTTGTTATGTATGTTTATATTTTGTTAAATTTAATTTAAATGCTAAATTAATGGCACAATAGCTCGACGAATTGACGTTAAGGCAGAAAACTTTTAGATTGGTGACGGACTGGAAGTTCGTTCGTTTCAGCCGAAAGACGTCCACTGCTGGACAAAGGCCTCGCCCAAGGATTTCCACAAAGACCGGTCCAGGCGCCTCCCGCGACCTTCACCAGATCATCGGTCCACCTAGTGGGAGGCCTGCCCACGCTACGTCTTCCGGCTCGTGGTCGCCACTCAAGAACTTTCCTGCCCCAGCGGCCATCAGCTCTACGAGCTATGTGCCCCGCCCACTGCCACTTGATTTTAGCGATTCTGCGGGCTGTGTCAGTCACTCTGGTTCTCCTACGGATCTCCTCATTTCTGATTCGATCACGCAGGGGACTGGAAGACATATAGAAAATACGTAATAGGCGGGAAGCTTGTGGAAATCCTTAGAGGAACCCTTTGACCAGTTGCAGAAGTAATACAAAGACGTTATGTATGTAAATGCATACTGATGTTTTTTTACTGTGCGGGATCGAACCCGCGACCTATGGCGAGTCCGTTACGAACCACTAGACCATCCCACCAAATAATAACTTTGCTCATAACAGCCTGTGTAAAACGTACCGAACTTCACCGGAAGTGGAAATTTCACGCGATTTACCGGAAGACTTCCTCATATCAAGCTCACGTATTACGAACTTTGAGGCACCTGTGTAGTATTACATTAGGGCTAGTGATGTGACAGGTGCTGCGAATGCGAATATTCGTTTTGATAAAGGTCGAGATTATTGTTACTTTTTTCAATAACTCAAGGAAAATGTAGCATTCAATCAAACTTTTGGTAAATATTTTTGATCAAATGCAACAATAACAATAGATCCAAATTGATAACGATATACTTTTAAAAAAGCAAATAGGTTTAAGCATAGGTACACATTAAAGCAGAATGATTAAAGTTGATTATTTAATTGACTTAAAAATCCATCGCAAAAAACGAACTCAAAATAGCATAGAAAGGGCATAAGTTCTGAGAAAAAAGCATGAAAAAAAAATACATTGAAAACCCAATCCTCACAAGTTTGTTTATACATAAACATTGATTGACATTTGTATTTTTTTATGCATAACAAGGCAGTTATTTGACCACAATCCTAAACACTCACAAATTAATCACAATTCTTTCCTAGTTTACTGGATATTTTACAAACTCGTATTTGTATACCTACTGGAAACACTGTTTAATTCGCATATTCGTTATCACACTGGAAACACTGGTTACCTTCTTAGTCTCAGGTTATTAGATGTGAGCTACCGCGAATTTAACTTTAAAGTAACGGGAACATATTTCAATCTCAATTTCGGGTAGTTCTATTACTTTGATGTAGCTTGTGGGATGAAGGAATTTGTCTTAGAAACTACATAATTGTATGGTTTCTTATGGATCGCAGTAGTTCTCTTCTGGGTACGAAATCTACCGTTCTTAGTTACAGCAATACAGGTTTTTTACCTACAGCGAAGAAGCACTTGCACATTGCATCATATTGAAAGGCCGAAGAAGATGATGATGATGATCACCAGATAATTAAGTTTCACCTGAAATCTCTATAGTCAAGCTTTTTGAGCTGCCTTTTATTAAGATTAATAGATCAATAGCTTGACTCGTGCTCTCTAACAGAAGAACCAATGAACTATGTATTCTGCATTGTGTATTCATATAACTGGAAGTTTTGCCGATTTCTGTCCTTTTTTTGTGTGATTATTTATCTGTGTATGAAATAAACTACGTTTTAATACGAGTATACTTTGATTCCTGAAAGGCAATAATCAAACGGTTTTCCAAATGTGTGTCCCGCCTGGAATTTGAACCTGATTGAAAAAGCTCAATTTTCTGAATTTCTAAACGAAAATTTCAAAGGTAATTTTGTTTAATCCTTTCCATACGAAAATATCTGCAAAGGATTAGATTAAAAGAGCCTAATTAATTACAGCTTAAATACAAAATGTCTAACATTACAAAACTATTACAAAAAATACTAAACTATTACTGGACTAGTGCTTACGAATTTAATTTTAAATCATAACTTCGGTAGAGATAATAATGAATATACCTATACTGAATCTGCCAAACGGCGATAATAGTATTACTAAGTATCATGCTATGAATTTACCTTCATTTAACTACAAAAGCAGCATTACTAAGCAATCAAGTCAATAAACTCTAGCTGTAATGGATATAGAAAATGCAAGTGTAACAGTATACGAGTACGAGAGAAAACTGAGCTAATAATATGATATTCCCAACCTTTGGTGAACTTTGTTCGTTGACCTTTACTTTATAATTATTCTGTCTGTGATCCTAGGTATTTTGTTTTATTTCACTTTCCAGATTCATTTTGATCCAGATTTTTTATTCATGAGATGAGGTTACATAGTAATAAGTTTCTATTTGACATGTGACCTAAGAAATAATAATATTGTATTACCAATTTAATATGAAATTATTAATATCACATAATTCACAGACACTGATGGCTATTTCTCATCGCCACGGTTCTCATCGTCACCTTCGTGGCGAATTTTATTTCTAACTTATTTCAACTTTTTGTAAACAAAAATTGTAGCGCTTGATGTGAAGATTGTATTCTCAGTAAATCAGTCAAATAGTGAGTCTCGTTTGGAAGCTTTAACTTTTTAAATTTTTTGATGCCACGAAAGTGATTCTGTACTTCACAGCAATAATTTTTTCAAACTTTACTACTGTAAATGACTCTTAAGTGTTTATAAAACATATATTTTGTCTTATTTTCATAGATAAATAGTAATAACATAATATAAATAGGTACCTACTTAAATACAAGATAAAATTTTACCGATTACGTCACCTACTAAGTTACAAGATTCTACGCAATTGGTTTTAAGGGTGACTCTGGTGGCATTCTGAAATGCTAAAGAAGCAAAAAACGGATTATCAGTACCTCAATAAAAAAGAACTCTAACTGATTATCAGTCCCTCAACAAAAATATATGTTTTATTNCTGTGATTGGTTGCTGGTGTTCGGTTTAACGGCAATCTTGTATTATAACTCAAAATTTTAGGTACCTAAAATCGTGTGACCAACGTATTTCGCTTTCCCAATTCAAAATAATTATAAGAAGATATTTTTTTGACTATTGTGTGGAAAGCATATTTAATTACGATGATTTTAGTATATGCTGCACACAAATTGAATGAAAATTGTGAATGCAGTAACCAAATGTTTCATTGCAACCGAAGGTGTGACACGATGAGAACGCGAAAAATGACCCCGTTTTTTATCGTTTCATGTGATTTTTTCGTATTATTTTTGCTTCTATTACGATAAAATTTATTTTGTATGTAGCTAAATAGATATTTTATCATCTGATTTCAAAGTTATTGTTCTAACTTATACCGTTTATGAACTATTATTGTGTGACCATCAAATTTGAGTGTAAATGAGAAGTACCCTGATAATAATCTTTTCAAATTAAATTTTTGGGGCTAGTATCCATTGACATATTTAACAAGGCGTATTTTCATAAAAGTTAGGGAATCCGTATAGGGAAAATGTAAAATTTTTAATTGTTATTTATTATTTTCAAGATTTCAGTTCAACTAAAAAACAAAAAAATACTTATATACCTAATAGGCCTAATGTAATCTTCACTAATGTGATTGGAAGCAAACAACGTATTGAGTATTGGGTTTATTTTCCAAAGAGCGCCTTATAAAAGTATCTGCATTTACCTAAGCTTAGATTTGTGCCTTAAATAGGTATAATAGGATTATTAAATCAAATCTTCAAGTAGATAATAAGGGTCTAATGTACACAAATCTACGATGCTGCGACATCGCATCGTAAAAATCTACGAACTCCCAATCTCAATAGCAATTAGTGTCCCAGTTTTTTGCAACGCCGCATCACGTTAGTTTCGCATTTTTTAGTACAAGCCCTTAACATTTTGAATACAAAATTAAACAATAACTATGCCCAAGCATCGCAAAGTCACTAGCTATCACAAATCGATCCGTATCAGGGGATCGATTCTAGATCATTTAAATAGCGAATCTCTGGGACATTCTTGACATTGATCTGTAGACCGACGCGCGCGCCGGTCGCCTTTACAAATAAAATTCAATTATTTATTTGGTTTTACTTCATAAATTCAAATTCAAAAGTTAATTTTATAAAAAAATAAATTGTTAATAAATTACTGTGTTGTGAAGTTCAGTGTTCCGCCCAGTGATTCTAAAAGTAAGTTTGGCCTAGTTTAGTTTTTTGTTCCGCTTTAGGTGGTTAAAGTTGACAGTTGCGTCTTTCCGTGTGTTGTGTTTATAATAGTTTTTTTTTTTGTGATGGAATGGATTGAAGCCACGATAGCCGAACGGTGAAGGGGTCGGACTGGCCGACTCGTGATCCGGGGAACGCGGGTTCGGTCCCCGCCGCCGCTCGACTATTGTGGTGAGCTCACTCGTGACACAAGCATATTTAGCTTAGTACGAGGGGCTAACGGGAGTATTAGTAATTTGTGTAATAACAAATTACTAATAATCTTTATTTAAAAAAAAAAAAAAAAAAAAAAAAAAAAAAAAAAAAAAAAAAAAAAAAAAAAAAAAAAAAAAAAAAAAAAAAAAAAAAAAAAAAAAAAAAAAAAAAAAAAAAAAAAAAAAAAAAAAAAAAAAAAAAAAAAAAAAAAAAAAAAAAAAAAAAAAAAAAAAAAAAAAAAAAAAAAAAAAAAAAAAAAAAAAAAAAAAAAAAAAAAAAAAAAAAAAAAAAAAAAAAAAAAAAAAAAAAAAAAAAAAAAAAAAAAAAAAAAAAAAAAAAAAAAAAAAAAAAAAAAAAAAAAAAAAAAAAAAAAAAAAAAAAAAAAAAAAAAAAAAAAAAAAAAAAAAAAAAAAAAAAAAAAAAAAAAAAAAAAAAAAAAAAAAAAAAAAAAAAAAAAAAAAAAAAAAAAAAAAAAAAAAAAAAAAAAAAAAAAAAAAAAAAAAAAAAAAAAAAAAAAAAAAAAAAAAAAAAAAAAAAAAAAAAAAAAAAAAAAAAAAAAAAAAAAAAAAAAAAAAAAAAAAAAAAAAAAAAAAAAAAAAAAAAAAAAAAAATGGAAAGTCAGTTTTGGTTGATATGAATCACAAATGAGTATTTTTTTAAACTTGTGACGAATTTTCTAAAAATAATTTAGAATTCCCTGCAAAACGTTTTTGAACTAAAATTCTAACTTCTATCTTTCTAATCTGACAAACAAATTAATATTCTGTCATAAATTCAAATAAAATTAAACATCAATGTTACCGACCCCGCTTTACGAAAATTTGACATACCTAATAATTACTCAAAAACCTACTCCGGGAAAAATCCAGGAAAGATTTCCACTTGTTATTTTAACTCTATCTACAGTTTTTTATTTATAAGCTCTACACCTTGACTCTTAATAAAACTATAGTTTATAACCACTGAAAATAATCCACTAGAACATGAAGTTCAGAAAATTCGATTATGTTTTTCGCAAAAGTTCCTGCATTTGTGACTTGCTGCTTTTGGAAAAGTTTCTGATTTATACACTTAGTTGTTACCAAACCTCTGTATAATATAATGCAGCTTATTTATTTACTTAGAAGTTAGTCAAACCTTGTTATTTGACCCACGATTAATGGTCGTCAAATATTCTTTAGACACCTATCTGACCACAGACTTTTTGCCGGCTGATAATTTAGTCGTATGAACATGTATTGAAGTTCGCACATTGCAGCGATTTTGTATCGACTGATTTCTCATACAAGTTAGAAGCCGATCAAACTTTCGATTGACTAAGTCTATGGTCAAAGAAAAAAACTTTTTTTATCTAAGTATATCTATAAAAGCGAAAGGGTAAAACTATAATTACTAGGAGTCTCAAATTTTGTATGGGGGTTTCTTTTAGAACGTAAGAGCTCACTAAAACGGGATTTTGCAAAATTCAACCCTTTTAATAGGGGTAAAACAGGATCGCGATCGCTATTTATGGATTAAAAACAAAATTCACTCTATACCTTCTTACCAAAATCTTAACGTGGTTTGGCCTTATATTTCTTACATATGAATTTTTATCCGAAACTTGGTCAATGATGGATTGCCAAACAAACTTCTATTCCCTAAGTATTTTACATATTTCAAGTAATATGAATTCGGTAGCTTGAGAATTATGGGCCCCAGGGCCCCATATACTTAAAAACATCAATCTTTCATTTGTTTTATCATAATTCCATTCCAATTCAGAAATAGAATGAGGAAGTTGTGGGCGTAATTTTTCAATCGAAATCGAACCCGCGTTCCCCGGATCACGGAAGTATGAAAGAGCAGTCGCCCGGCAAGCGAAAGGTCATGGGTTCGATTCCCATCTTAAGCAGTTCGATTTATACAAGTTATTTTAAAAAAATATATTTAGATCGAGAGACGACTGATCGCCAGATTTTTTTCAATTAATACCTCTACATATGTATATTTATGTATAACTTAGAATTAATGTGACACAAGAATATTACAAATACATAAAACTTACAGACAAAATTTTGAGAAAAGTTTACAGTTTACAGTAGGTAGTTACCCAAATTCGCATCTTATTTCGTTGCAATACGGTCTGTTTTCCAACAAAAATGTACAGCCTGATTACCGTCGGTATACCTACAACTTTTAATTGCGATTAAGTTCCTCGTGCGTGTTAAACCAAAGCAATAACAACCAAGTTAATACTTGCGTAGAGTTTAAATTAGATCGCACACGACAAACTTCAAATGAGCAGATAGATTACCGACCTAGTTAAACTTGCGATATTGATGATCGTTATTAGTTTTGAACTTAAACAACCTAGAGTTCCTGGAATACCTGTGTTTTAATAGATCTATTCCACTTTGATCACCTGGCTTTGATCACCCAGGTGATCAAAGTGGACTCCAAGCAACATTTAGGTGTACTCTGATCATCCATGGATAAAATGACCTGGGTAATCAAAGTTAATCAAAACCAAGCGACAATTTGATGTCGTTTGATCACCTATGGATGATGGTGATCGAAGGAAACTAAAACAATAATTTAACTGGAGTCCACTTTGATCACCTGGGTGATCAAAGCCAGGTGATCAAAGTAGATTAAACCGTTTTATAGACTCATAACTGTATGGTTAGTACCATAAAGTTAATATTCCTTCGGAATACAGCAACAACCACGAGCTGTCAAACGAAACCAATTTTGGGTGACAATTGTGTGTCAGTGTCAGGATTATTTCACTGTTTTGTACAATCAATCACTGAACCAGTCACCACGTTTCTGAAGCACTATCTTTGATTGAAAACATAGTTGCTGCTCGTGACATATTGCTCGCTTAGTTCTTGTGAATTTTGTTCTGTCACAGTAGGAAAACCCTCTCTAATTTGCCAGAGGCAAATGGAGGATTTAGTACACTCCCCACGCAGGCCAGACGGGTATAAATGTACGAGTATTTGTTTCAAATTGCTATTTTCATTATTTTCTCACATGCTGTAGGTCTGGAGTTTAATTCAGTCAGTGCCTGAGGTATAAGAGCGGTAAGGGAGAGGTAACATTGGCATTTATGACGTGACAGGGCACACTTTGAAGTCCCGTGGTTCGTGCGTAATACGAATCTCCATAGAGATTTCGAGATCCCATCGATTGATCACTTCATGAAAGAAGCCTCTCGCCGCTACTTTGATAAAGCAATCAACCACAAGAACCCTCTTATCGTTAGCGCCGCCACGTATACACCCCAGAAAGATGTCGCTGCCCAATACCGACGACCTAGGCATGTCCTAGACGACCTTGACGATCCTATTACCGAATTTCTGAATACAGACATCACTGCCTTAAGCACGCCAACTACTCCACAACACAGTGGCTTGTTACACCGTACTCGCCGGCGAGTACGAGGCCCTGCTTTCCATTTCGGACGGTATAGACAAGTACCGGGCCGGTTCTCCCCTATCCGTCCCCCGGACACGGCCTGAGCCGAGGTCCGAGCCTACCGTGGCACCCTCAGGCCGCGTCCGTATAGTCCCCTCGATCGGGCCCACTAGAGTGAGCCCGCCGTAGGCTGGACTTTGGTCCAATACTGCGGTCGGCAACCCTCTAGTTGGGTTCGCCACTGATCGGGCGTCTTATGCGCTCGTAGAGTACCTTCTGTACTCGCCACTCTGCCCGGTGAAGCTGGAAAAGCTCCTCAAGCTACCAGCGCGCGTCCCTTCAAAAAAACAAATGTGAAGTTTCGCTGACGTTTGATCGTCACAAAATCACCCTCCCGTACCGCTCCCATACCTCAGGCACTGACCGAGTTAAGCACTAGTGTTAGGGTCCTAACGAATATTAGTAAAATAAAATAGTGGACTGTATAAATAATAGGTGCTGTAATTCTCGCCAGCCTAATTACAGAAAATTATCTAAGACTACGCGGTAATCGTGCGTCGACGGTGGTGTCCAAAGGCGAGTGTGTGACCCGAGCGCAGCCGATGATGACGCTGTCGGCCCGAGGTGACGTTAGTCATTGTACGCCGCCCGCACGTCTCCTCCCGCGCGTTGTTGGGTTCCCAACAACTAGACTTATAAATCACTCTTTTGTCAGAAAACACTTTATTTAGAAATTAAATTAGAAAATACAGCGTTTGAACAATCCATTGATGGTTGTTTTGGAGCTGATGAAACGAAAACAAAATGTTACAATACTGATATTCATTGCTGTTTTTAAAACCATTCAGCTGTGTAGGTAAATAAAGTTGTTATCTCTGTATTGTAATGGACTGACCAGTCTGTCCGTTTGTACAAAAACTGTTGTTTCTTCAACAAAAGCATGATATACCCACTCGTAGGAAATATTGCAAGGATTGAATGTTGTGGTTGAACATATGGGCTTGGGCACATCAAGTTTACGGCTATTAAGATACGTTATATATATTATTAGATGTGAGCTATACCTCTAGCATGAACAACTTTCGTATTCAAAGCGTTAATTAAGCGATAACGTGACAATTTTGATTCTCAAAATAAGTTTCGTGCAACCATATATCATACTAAGTTCACTTTACGACACGTTCACAAGGGCACTGTTGTAGTTTTCGTACTAAATCTTTTGATGGCGATTCGAATACGCAAACGATTCTAACTCGAAAGTTTTTCGTGGTAGCCGTACTAAAAATTAAAACCAAAAAGCTCTAAACAATAATAGATTCTGGTAAGTAATCTTGGGCATGATAGTGAAATTGAAAAAGGAAAAACAGATGAATCTATGAACATCGTACTAAATCAAGTTATTTCGGAAATTCCTGATTTTTGGGAAGGGTAATAAATGCATGGTGCAATCAGCTGATTAAAACGGTCAATTCAGCTGCTAGCCTCATCATTAAGCGCTGGCATTTAATTAAAAGTATACATTATTGAACATCGCTGAACGTCAACTAAAATTAAAGTTTAGGACATTTTGTAATTAGGTAACTAATTATAACGACTAGGTATGTTTTTGATCACCAAACATGTGGTAAATCAAAATCTATGATGGCAAAGTCGAATCATGTACAAAAGTTAGCAAATAAAACAAAACAAAGGGAAACGAAATTGTCCGTATTATGAACGCAAATTATGGAAGTCTAATTCTGTCAACTAAGCCTCTGGGTTTAACGTCGTTAGCTTTCATATGTCAGTTTTTTTCACATCCCACGATTATCAATTGTTGTAAACTAGGAAAGTTAAAATAGGTATATCATTACTTAACTATGAGTTATACTATAAGATAAATGTTACGCTAAGCTAAGAAGGTAATTGGAAAACGCAGCGTGGGCCGGTCAACAACAAGATGGACTGAAGACCTCATAAAGGTAGGAGGTTGCTACCAACCAGTCATTATGGAAATCATTGGGGGAGGCTTATGATTCAGCCTTGGACGTCCTATGGCTGAAACGATGATGATGATGAAAAGTTGTGCTTGTATCAAAGAAAGAACTTATTCAGAGAAAAAATAATTACTGATTATTTTAAACACGTTGTCTTTATTTATTCAAGTTCAAAGAAATTACTGACATTCATATTTTCGAATAACCGCTAGTTCATAATATTATTTTCATCAAAATCATCCCAGCCAGGTGCAGACAAGAGCAACCATAACTGTAGATTAGAGTCTTTTAAATGTAAATTTATCATCAGCATAAAAATCAACACCTTTTCAACTAGACAAGAAAGAAAACTTATTCGCTTCTCTTTTAAGATTAATATTTTTATTCAAAAACTAACGTTAGTAGTTCATCATCATCATCATCTCAGCCATAGGACGTCCATGACTGGTGAACGTAGGCCTCCCCCAATGCTTTCCATGTTACCCGGTTGGTAGCGGCCTGCGTCCAGCGCTTTCCTGCTACCTTTATGATGTCGTCGGTCCACCTTGTGGGTGGAATTCCCACCGGGAAACGTTAGTTACTGCTAGAAAATCACAAAATAAAATATACATTTTTTTTAAATAAATAGGTACGTTACAAACTAGTTTCATTGTGTGGTTTTCTATAGAGCTCTCAACTCAAATGAAACTGAATTAAAACTTAAATCTAAAGTTGCAGTTTGTCAGTTTTATGTTTCGCTGTGTGTACAAGTCTACAAGTGCCTTTCATGTTCATGTTTTCTACTGTATGCATGCATTTAACTTCCTTATTTATTTTGATGATATTTTATTAGTATAAAGCAGGTCTATTAGCTTAGTTTGAATAGGGGGTTTGAAGCACTACGTACGCTATATTTGAAACATAATTTCGTAGTTTTTATTCACTGTCATTTCAGAAGGTCTTATGCAAGGCATTTGGTAGCTTTATAACTTCATTCTGGTACCTGATTAGTTTTCCCAAACAATATAATTTCCAAAGCGTACAATTTAAAACAAACGTTTTGTGACAAAGTTTTTCATAGCTTGAAAAATCCATTAAAAGTTAGTTGGTAATGATGGACGGATTTGGGTTGTTTAGGCATTGTTAGCGTAACATTAACACTTGACCTGTAACTTTGATCACAGGCTGAGTTGCACCACCTAACTTTGACCGTAACTTTGACGATAACCGCGGTGCTTTTTGTATGGATTTTGACAGATTTTTGACGTTTGTCAAAGTTAAAGTAAGATGGTGCAAGCCTTATACTTTAGTAGGTTGGCTCAAGAACCATTCTTATCTTGTGGTTATAACAAAGATCTAAAATACATTAATTAATAAATAATCTTGTAAGAACGAGAGTTTACTAATAGCCCTAATAGGTACCTTTACTCATATCATTGTAGATGTTTATCTCAATCAACATAATAATGTGTTGAGCTAATGACTTATCTACTAATTAAAAGATGTTCGTGGCGAAAAGAAAAGTTGAAAGTGAAAGAAAAGTGATAGGTATCTTATAAATACAGATAAGTTTGTGTTAAGATAAAGATAATTAATTTAATAGGCAGGTATAAAAGCTACCTAGTAAAAATGTATTTTATTATTTTGCTCTATTAGTAGGTACTACTTATGATAAGAACGTATGTTATAACTTTCATTTACTTCGTTCGATCATACTTTCGTGACGATCTGGTCATCTGGTGAAGGTCGCGGGAGGTGCCTGGATGCGGGCAGGCAGGACTGTTGATTGTGGGAATCCTTTGAAAGAACTAATAGGTATTAGTAGATGTCATTTAAAACGAACGAATTAAAATCTTACAATTTACATCATATTTTCAGGCTCCTAATGAAAAAGAATTCATAATTATTAAGTCTGGTGTATTTGTGTGAAAAGTTTCTAAGAATTTTTAAGGCAAAATTAAATAAGTCAACGGACTTTTCTTTTGGTAGGCTAATCGTTAAATTTCTTAGAAAAGGGTTTCAAAAAATGGGAAGGCATTTCACTTATAGTAAGGAAGATCAAATTATACTCGTGGAACTTAGGTATAACTAAGAGACCTGAGGGTCAAACTTCCTACTAAATTTAAATTATCTCATTTTCTTGAAATGACAACCTGACCACGAGGGTTTTGGGAAATATAAAACCTAATTTTAGTCTAGCCTGAGTAAATTTCAACTTATTATTAGTAAAAGAAACAATAAAATAAAGTTTTTTTGTTTTGATAAATCATTATAATAACGTACTATGAATATGTATAGTTATAGTTAAAAAATATGAGCGTCTTCTATTTAATAACCATTTCTAATGGCCATATGCCTCTTTAACGGCTTACAGATTTTGTATTTAAATAAAACTTAAATAGTTTCTTTCTACCTCAAAACTATTGACGACTAAAACTTTTGATTTCAGAATAAAACCCCATCAAAATGGCATCATCACTCTCACTCTCCATCCAAATCCTGCTAGTGCTAGTACTCTTCAAGCAAACCCACAGCACCGAAGATGGCTACCTTCGATACGTCAAAGACGGTTGCTTCATAAAAGGAGAGGCATTATCTTGCGTCAAATATAAAGCCCTAAAGATTGCTAAAAAGACTCTATTCGGAGACAATATAAACAGCAATGAGACTATAAAGGCAAACCAGATGATCAGTTTCGTGCCTTTAGACGTGGATACGATAGAGAAACTCTCTATCGGAGAAAAGGCAGAGGTTCTGACGAGTGAGCCCAAAGGATTCATGTCAGAATGGGCGGAGTTGGCGAAGTATCTGATGAAGCTGATGAAGGACTTCTTCAAGGTGAAGGGACTGAGGGTGAACCTGCCTGAAGGAGCGAGGACTGTGGAAGAAGACGATGACATTGACAGTAAGTAAATTAGATAGACATAAGATACAGTAGATGCGGGTTACCTTAGCTCTAGAGGGCAACTTTGGCTCCAACCTCCAGGGCTAAGGTAACCCGCGTCTATGGTAGATAAAACGTTTTTTGGCAGAAGATACACACTACAGAAGTAAACGTAATAATAATCAATTTACTGGTTACAAGAAAGCAAAGTTATTTTAAGCTCAGAATTAACTGTAATTCTATGAATTATCTCACCTAAATACTTCATAAACAATTGGATTGGTTAAATTCCTTGCCCCATGCCTGTATGCCCTAGATCTCAATACTAAACGTAATTACAATTCCTAGAGGTGTTAGAATAGAATCCTACTGTAATGTAATCCCGTTAGCTGGAATCTTGTGAACAAATCACGTTGAACATTGTCGTATCATTATTAATTTCTTAGACATAAATATACTTGATGTTATAAAATAATTAATACTGACTAATATTTTAACATATAACTCACACCACTGAACGGATAGTGCTGAAAAACACTCAGACTCATGTTATTATGACGTAGGAATTCGCTAAAAATGATTTTCCGAAATTCGATCCTAAGGGACGAAACGGGTGGCCAAAGTTTAACGCGAGCAATCAACATAAAGTACAAAAATATGATACAATTCAAACCATCGCAAATTTTTTATCATTTTCACCTTTCAAATGTTATTTATTTGTTTTGATTTATTATAGAAATACCTTTGATATTTGACCCTCATTTAATCAAACCGTAAAGGATAGTCTCGGGAGAAACCTGAACAATGTTAGGGCTAACCTAAAACAAAATTAATCAGAACTTTGAAGGGCTTTGGTATTTCTATTTCATAATATTATTTGAAACAAGTTTCAGATTTCACACGTAAAGATTTAATGTACCCATGAATTACCTTAAATTGCTTAAATAACGAAAATTATAATTAAATAAATTACCTACTTATTGAAGAACTATCTCATCCGCCTATGGTCTAAAAGTATCTATGGGCGTTGGTAATCACTTACCATTAGGTGAATTGATCGCTGGTTTGTTGCCCCATACAAAAACTACTAGTTAGTGTATTAAACATCATACAATAAAAAAAATTTTTCTTTTAACCCGATTTTCATTTATTTTCATTATTTTAGTTTAGCTTTCCGCCCGCGGCCCTGCGCGGCGAATTTTGTCTGTCACAGAAAAACTTTATCGCGCACGTCCCTGTTTCAAAAACCGGGATAAAAACTATCCTACGTCCTTTCCCGGGACTCAAACTATCTCTATGGCAAATTTCATCAAAATCGGCTCAGTGTTTTAGGCATGAAAGCAAGACAGAGTTACTTCCGCATTTATAATATTTTATATATTATATCTCAAACAACGAAACTCGTTAACGCTTAATTTACAATCGAAGGGAAACATTTAGAAGTTTGATGAATTTAAAATTTTGTGTTAAAACAATCAAGCCTTTCGACAGAGGAACCGCAGACGGACTGTAATTACGAAGTTATTTTTGCATTCAATAATAGAGGTTAGATTAAGGCAGATGAATATTTTCAAACGATCCTTTCCTTTGATGTTTGATTTGGGAATAATTTTGCATAAATCAATTCAATTCAATTTAAAAAAATATAATGCTTTAGAGGAAGAAAGGCTTTCATTTTACCTCTTGCTTGTTCTTGATCAATATTGTACTGATTTTTTAATGACTTTAGAAAAGTTTCAGCAATATATTTTTTGTTTTGTAACGTTCACCGATAAGAAAAAGTAATTTTGCATCATTTTAAATGCACCAAATTGGACTGTAATTAATTTATTTTAGTAACATTAAAAAAAAAAGTAATCAGATTTTCAATGCGACCGCGTTCCCCAAATACAATTTTTTTCATTCCGTCAATCAGCTTATGCCTTTTCTTATGTATTCCTTCATATTTTTCCCATTAAAGTGATTTCTAAACCTTTGACCATTAGATTCAGTCGATTGATTTTTCAATTATCATTTTCTAGAAAGTCAAAGCGCGTCATTTTGACCACAATGTCTATGTCACGTTCAAATGTGATTTCGATCGTGAAAAAAAGAGAATCAATTTAACGAAGAAAGTTTAGAAGCAGCTACGAAAACCACCAAAATGTTTGTTAATACCTCAAAAGACAAACAGGCAGAGGAAACCTAAATATTTCATTGTATTTGGACTTTAAAACTTGGAAATAAAGTTCAAAATATGATGCCGTATATAGGTAATATGTATGTCTCTATAATAACCATGAATGTCATTCCAATTTCGAATTGTAACACATTTTTAAATCAATAATTTCCATCAATAAAATGTGCCAGTGACAGACCTCTGTGGTGACAGTACTCAGCATTTTTGCTTTGCTTAAATCTTTAGCACGCACAGATAAAAATGACAAATGAAAATTTAAATTTCGAATATTGTCGATTCTCTTGTTTTCGTTCTTAACTTTTTTAATGATAGAGAACTCCTTTAGTAGGTAGTGTTGTGTAACAAGGCAGCTTCTAAAATTTTCGTTGTTTAAAACTTTGGTTTTCGTGTGATTTTACATCTTTTTGGTGTGAAAGCAGTTGTGGTTACCGACACAGTTGTAACCAAAGTAAATAGAGCAATAGACCGCAGTGTCCGCGTTGCTTACCTTATTAGGGTTGAGTTAGAGGCCAGCACGTAGAGTCGCTTAAGTCATGATTTATCAAAAATAGAAACTTTTTTTACTAAATTGTCAGTTTCAACAGTTCAATTGTTCTTTCGAGTTACTTTTGTGATAACTCAAACTAAGTATCAGATGTTTTGTCTTTGACACTTTTGAAGGTAGATTTTTAGTATAATGCTCGCAGCCTCAGATCATAGAAGGGAATAGATGTGAAACGAGGGCGTGGCGCGTGTCTCCGCGATATGCCCAGAAACGAACATCGCCCGCGACGCCAGGTTAGTCGCGATTCAGTCGTACTGAGGAAATGTTCTCCGATATTGTTGGATAATGCGTCGTAACGTGCAATAACATAAGTGAAACGAAGAACTACAGGAACAATGAAGTCATTTACCACATGTATGTATTGCAAATCCATTGGTATTTTGCTTATAAATAAAAAAAACTAAACATTTTTACGAACGAATTCAGTGCCGTGACATTTACTGCGATATCGAAATTAGTGGTGATAAAAATTCAAACACGTTGTACATTGACGATTTAGTTAGCAACCACTTTATGTCATGCGTAACTACTGCGCAATGTATTTTATTTCTTCCGATATCCACTGACGCGTGAAAATACACAGTACGGCCGCATGTGCCGGTCGTAACATAGTGCAGGGCTCGTGTTCTAATACGGTTTCCTATTATCGATAAATAGAAGTAAATTATTATTTTCTATTTTCTAATTTTGAATGAAAAAATCATGAGTTGCTTGCGATTTTTAAGTTTTTACAAAAACAATAACAATAGTAGAAGGGATTAGTAACTGTCAACTATGTAATTAGTAATTACATAGTTGACAGTTACTAATCATTAGTATATAGTAGTAATTACTAATTACTATAAGAGCTAGTTGAAAGCCTAATATAGGCATTATTTTTGATAAACATATGCGGTACGCAGATCGCCATAGTTAAAAAGTTAATGCGCGATAGTAGTTAATAATAATTACAGTGATCCTGTTATTATAATTAAAGTAAATAATAATTATATTACCAATATTGTAAATACTGGTAAAAATCGCAAGTACCTAAAAGTCATGGGTTAAGCCCTTGACTTTTCATACAAACTTTGTCAGTCTATAACTTCTATACTTACTCCATCGATAACGACATTGAGCTTTGGTTGGGGTAAATTAATATAAGGTAACTTCATTTTGTCCCAATAATTGATTCTGAGTTTTTCGTCCATACAAAATGGAACTGACTCCTTTATGCAAAAATCGTTAAAAAACATAATAATAACGTATAATAATAAAAAGGTTTTCATACAAGCATATTTAAACCAATTTCGAGCCTTACCCCCAGGATTTAAAGTATCGATATCTTATCGACTCCATTTTATCTTTCTTCTCTCTAATTATTTTGCTTTTTTCAAAGTGTGCGTCACGTCACGCGGCCATTGATTGGCCATAAGGCACGCCTTCTGGCCAATCACAACACTTTTAAGCCGGTTGCACATGTTGTCGTAGACTCTCAGTCGCTTTGTTTTTACACAGTTGAATGTGTGTGTGGGAGCTGTGGTGGGGGAAATGTGGGGACACTGGTTCTCGTTGTAGTTACGCGCGACTTCATATCTATTCTCTTTCTATGATCTGAGCTCGCAGCTGACCTTTGGCAGAAAAAAATTTAGACTCAAAGGACGTTCGGTCACATTTGCTAGATTGAGCCCTAATAATAATATATTCTCATTAAAACGGTTTAACAGAAATTTTAGTGTAGATTTTTCGTAGTATCCCTAACTAATTATCCCTTATTTGCTTTTGTTTAGTTGAAGACGATGGGGTGTTTGACAGAGCGCCGGCCTTGAACAAGACATTCCCTCTTTATAAAGGTTAATTACCCCACTTTTTTACTATGCACTTTAAATATCACCCTGTTTATATCGATAAAAATAATTTTGCACATTGCACTTTATTTTATTTTATTAATAGAACTCTATCAAGAAAAGATAAATGAGTAATAATTATTAATTAAAATATTAATTGACAAAACAATTGTGATATTATGTAATTTTTATTGCAATATACGCTCGAAAAGAATCATAGCAAACGCTTCTCTATTAATAGGTTTTTAGGTAAAGCAAAATGGGATTTTTATTAAGTGTTCCATAATTTAACAGATTTCTTAAAAAAGTTTGTTTAGATAAATAGAATATTATGTACCTAATCACTTTTAAGGGGCTAAAAGGTTCTTAAGAAAAGTTAAGTACAAAAATAATATCCTTTGGGAATTAATCAACAAAAACATTTCAATTTGGTTAAGTTAAAAACACGACAGTGTTTTGTTTTTGTCTAAAAAGAATTTGTTTTGAAAATGGAATTAAAATTTAAACAGCTCCAGTTTTAAATTGAAATGTTCGATGCAGGCTTTCTTTTGTTTTCATTATTATGATATAAATAAATAAATATCCTTGGACATTTTACACTGCGCCGCTAGCCCCAAACTAAGCAAAGCTTGTACTATGGGTACTAGACAACGGATATAAACATACTTAATTTTTTTTTTGTTAATACATACATAATTTACACATTATATGAAGCTAAGTATTTCAAAATCGAACGACATCTCAAACCCATCGATAATTAGTTAAGTGAAAATTTAATGTAAAGACTTTTTGAATTAAAAACTATCAAAATAATCTCATAAAATAAATGAATTTTTAATTAACTTTGTATTACATCGCAATGAATGAACAATATCTTTACTGTACACATAAGATAATTAATTTTACAGGTTAAACAGATTTTTTCGAGTGTACGCATCGCTTGTTGAATAGTAAATAATTTTAATAACCTACAATTAATTACATCGAATAATCTGCCAGAACCAGACATCGCCCGAGGCAACTTGATATCGCAAAATATTTTCATGCGATAATTTTAAATTAATTTAAAAACTAAAGCATTTTTTCTTTCTCTATAATGATATTGAATTGGATCAGTGTATCTTGCCATACACCTGGCATGTAATATTAAAATATGAATAATTAGTTCTCTGAAAGCCTTCACATAGAGTCGTGAATCTAGAATTTTTATTTCTAAAAGCGCAGTTGCAGTGCCACGACCATTTGCATTTTTCACTTTAGCGATGCAACTGCGCTTAAAGAAGTTGTATAAAAACGAATAGCAGAGTTAAAATACCTAGTATTGCGGCACGCGTGCCACAGTTACGCCACTGTAGCGTTTCTTCAAGCCTCTAATTTGAAAGCACTCTTAATCTAAAGTTATCTACACAAATACACGGAAAAGTATCAACAACAAAATAGACCATTAAATAAAAATATCAATCTAAAAATAAGAAGTTCCACTTAACGGTGTTGCAATTCATAAATCCCAAGCTATAATAATATCCGCTTGAATTCGCATCGACTTTTCGTTTTGTTTGTAATAGGATCGTAGACTTAACAATGCAAATTATTTCCCAAATATTTAATTCGAAACAAAACACGGAAACTTCCTTATAATGGACCAGACTGGTTGATTTTATCTGCGGTCTTAAGACGAGGGAATAAGGTGCAAAATATCCTTACAATATTGCCATAGACTTGAAAAGGCTTACAGGAGAAAAGAGGTTTCCACAAATTAATATTCTTTCAATCTTCTCAAGTTCCAACTTTAGCCCACGCCAACAAAAATCGACTCAAAGGGACAAAAAACTGTATCTGAAACCTTATTATTGCTTTACTTTGCAATAAAAGTTAAGTTTCTGGATTGCATCTAGCTATGCAAGTTTTTTATACACATAAAATCATATTTACATTAAATTATTTTTGGCAGTGATACGTGTTACGTATTTTCTCTCTTTTTTCCAATGGTTGACTGGTAAAAAATGCTATTTCAGGATTAATTCCACTTTCTATGGCATTCATATTGCGTTAAAGTTATTTTCATAAATAAATTCATAATACGAAAATTCCCACATTCTTGCAATATTTGGTAGCCTAGATCCATTCTCAGAAATACACATTTCCCTCGGGAAAAGTATCGTTATTTTGACCCAGTGACTGTTCATAATTACCATTAAAATCAATATTGATTATGGAGCAGGTCAAAAATCATTAGGTCGAGACGAGACTCGACCTCTTCATTAGGAACGGAACTAAACTGTGTAATTGTGGATTTAATGCACTTAACGTTTGCGGTATTTTTTAGTTCCGTATTTTGATAGTCGATTGACCTGTTTTTTGTTGGATAAATAGTTCGCAGATAGATTTATAGTGATTACTTATTTTATAAAACGTTGTGAGTCAAAGACAAAATAAGTAAGCTTGCAGAACTTAATGAAGAAAATCATGTCCCATTTTCTTATCAAAATGTTCTAGAACTCATTTTATTAATTTTTATCTTATTGAGATAACAAACAATTGCACTAAGACGCAACCAGCACCGTAAATAAAATTCATAATATTGTCTCATGGATCAATTTCATTAGTCTACCTATAGCACGGTCGCCATAGAGTGGTGGGAACGTTTGATCAAAGACAATCTTCAACACCAGACGATTAAAGATCAAACTGCCAAAGGAATCGTCATAATAATATGACGTCATACTATTCTGACATACCGCGATCGTTTCTATTGACTAGTGAAAATAGTGTCGTTTCAACCCAAGGACTTTGCTGGACAAAGCTCTGCTCTAAAGATTTCTACAGCGACTGCTATCTAGAAGCTTCATCCGACTTTCGTTCGTTTGTTCGTTTCAGCCAAATGACGTCCGCAGCTGGACAATGGCCTCCCTCAAGGATTTCCATAACGAACGATCTTGCGCTGCCCGTATCTAGATGCTGCATTCGACTTTACTAATAGTACCTATTTTAAATCAATATTCTCCTACCTTCACTAACATTCATTGGTTAAGGGGTCGGACTAGCCGACTCATTATCCGAGGAACGTGGGTTCGAACCCTGCTAATGCTCGACTATTATGGTGAGACGACTCGTGACACAAGTAGAGATGGGTTTCCACCCGGGTAAAAACTTACATGAGGGTAAAAACCCAATAAAAACCCGTTTCATTCCACCCGTGGGTGTTTACACCGGGTGAAAACAAATAATTTTATAATTATTACAATTGGTATCTTTTCTTTATTTTTATTGAATTTTTCTCATTTAAGTTTATTGGTTAATAAGTAATAAGTCAAATTTAACACTAATATGCATTTATATCGTGGCCAAATCGAAAAATTGATCACGTTATGATGATGTGACCAATTATTTTATAAAATGGTGTTATTATTTTTCAAGAATCGTTGAATCGATTTAGAAGAAATTTAGTAGGAACACAATAATTTGTGATCATGGCAAGGACATGGAGGGGGGGAGGGGGGTGTGCCAAAGATGCCAAACTCTCTCTTTGATGACATTACGGTATAAAGTTACAAATAACAACAGCAACTACAAAGTACTTCTGCTTAAAAACTTGAAATCGAACCGCCCTTCCGCCACTGTAACGCATTGTAACGTTTTTCAAGACCTCCTCTCCCCCCAGATTGCATTACGTAACACTAGAACGCCCCCTTAGCAACAAATACCACTTCTCACTTTAAAAAAACGCTATTTTTGTTTTCACCCACCAGAATGGGTGGTAATGGGTAAAAACCGGGTTTTTACCCAAATCACCCAGTTTTAACCCAATCGGGTGAAATGGGTTTTTACCCACTACCCATCTCTAAACACAAGCATTTAGCTTAATAGGGGAAAGTAGTACGAGTTGATCCCCTGGGGTAAGATGATCTTTCGCGATTGTGCTGAAACCACTAACGTCATTTAGTTTCTTTCACTGGTAAAACATAGCTCTGGACACGTCCCCGCCTCAGTCAAATCGCAATGGTGGCGTGAGCGATACATCGAATTTGACGAGAAAAAAGAAAAATTGTGTACTTCTGATCTAAAATAGGCATGACTTTGAGCTTATGTTACTTTTATTCAAACAATGTTAAATGTAATTACTGTTGTCGTTAGGCTTTCTATTATGTTTAATTTTAATATTTTGGCCATAAAAACGTAACCGCGTACTTTTAGATTATATTTAACAAAAAGTGGGACTTGGGTCAAGATGATCCCTTCCTATATGTACGAGATGATCCCTGGGAATTAAAACAAAAAAGTCAATGGAGTAGGTAAAGGGAAGTGAAATAAAAGATAGAGAACTTCATATAACTCACCTGAGTCTGAAGGAGATGATTCTGAGTGGCTGTACTGAACAAAAAAGTTTTCAAGCGATACCAAGGGTGAAGGATGGATAAAATGTTATGCATGTGGAAAATGGGGCCATAAAGCATGTGCTGGGGTAGAGGGTGATGAAGCAGGTGAATTTATTTGTGATATGTTCAACACAGCTCCAGCCAAAAAGCGTTTCAATTATTTAAACGCTTTTAGCAGGTACTAAGAAAGAATCAGTTATTTTCATTATTAAATTGGTAAATGTTTTTCTTTTCTAACTTTTTAACGATTTGTTTGCATAATTAGGTTCTCCGAAAGGAATATAACCAGAAAAGAATAGATCATAGAACAGAATCATAGGGATCATCTTACCCCTACCTGGGGGATCATCTTACCCACAGGGGTGTACAAGATGATCACTTTGTAAGGTTTTGCAAAAAATGAAATATTTTAATGAAACCTCAATTAATTTCTGGTTTTGAGTATAAGGAAAGTTGGATAGATAAATATACTAGTAGTAATCGTCTTTATTTTTGGTTTACCTTGAAAAATATGTATTTTACAGCGATTCCCGCTTAAGGGGATCATCTCGTACTACTTTCCCCTATGAATTGCTGTTCGTTAGTCTGATTAAAACTCGAGAACGGCTGGGCCGATTGAGCTGATTTTGGTTTTAATATGTTTGTCGTACGTAGTCCAGGTTAGGTCTAAACCAGTGGTTCTTAACCGGTGGTCCGCGGACCACTGGTGGTCCATGGAGGCATTCCAAGTGGTCCACAATGTGCACTTGCACACCTAGGTCAAAACGACTTTTAACTGATTTTTGCAGTCAAACTGGTTTTGGCCGATTATGAGGTGGTCCCTGACAAGACAGAAATTTGGTAAAATGGTCCCTCATGACTTAAAGGTTAAGAACCACTGGTCTAAACGGTGAGCAAATAAGGAAAAATTGCGATGGCTTATTTATTGCCTTTAAGGCGGAACAGAGTTCGCCGGGTCAGCTAGTATTCTATAAAATAAAACAGTGTACCTAATAAAGGAATATCATGCTATTTCCAGGTCGCGGCAAGAAGAAGAAGCTAGCCATCATCGTCCCGCTCCTGACTCTCCTTACTGCCATCAAGACGAAGCTGCTCCTCATTCCAGTGCTGCTTGCCGTGCTGCTGCTGAAGAAACTGCTGTTGGTTGGCGCTTTATTGCTGCCAAGTCTGCTGAACACTTTGAAGGCTTGCAAGGTATGATTTTAATTAATTTCCAAAAATAAATTAAAATCGACTCCAAACAAAGATCACTAAAATAGAAAAATATTTTTTTATTAAGACAAAAAATACCATAATTGATATTTTTGGAGTCGTTGCCGGTAAACTTTGAACGTTTCTTAAGCTTGGGCACAAGGCTGGCACCGACTCCAAAGATATCAATCATCGTATATTTTTCCTAATAAAAAAAAAACAACTTTTTAGTGAAGTTTTTTTGGAGCGGTTTTAGAAGCTCCTTCTTTTTTAAAGTCGGTTAAAAATGGATTTTATAGAAGAGATTTCATACAAAATTTTTTTTGCCTTATAATTATAATATCTATGAGCATAGTGTACTGTTTTCCGTAAACTTTCTTGAGTTTATATGAACATTTTCAGAAAAATATTCTTGACTATACGAGTAGGTACTTATCAATAAATTGGGCGCTACTAATTTTTTGTGGATGACAAATAAAACCTGAAGAAAGGAGAAGCACAAAAGATCCTAATGGGTCAACAACAACATACCTAAGTTAAGGCATGGTCCCGTGTAAGATAAAATTATCGAATTCGAGTTATAATAGTTGTTGCAATTCACGAAAGCGAGTGAGCTTTACATGTGTGGTGGCTACTGTAGGATGAGTGTGAGTTTACATTAAACGCGCTCACTAGTGAGCACGTTTAAAAATTGTATGAACATTTTGTCCTTTGTCCAGCAGTGGACGTCATTTGGCTGAAAAGAAAGAAAGAAAGAAGAAATGAACATTTTAGTTTTTGGACGTTTCCCGCTAGGGGCGCAGTACAATCTGTAATACATTTAATGTCATTTTTTACGTACGTTTGATGTAAACTCACACTAGGCCCTCTGTACGTTTTACAAAAGTTTTGACAGACGTAACACTATCGATATGTGCTGTGCATGTACACATACAAACATAAGTAGGTAAAGCTCACTCGCCTTTGTGAGTTGCAAGAACTATAGTTGTTTTTATAAACTTTACACAAACTGCAGTACCATAGCATAAACAAGCATTTGTTTCATTGTAAGAACAGTTAAAAAAATCTCTCAAAACATTTCCTTCCGAAGAATTTCGGCAAACGAGTCATCGCTCCATCCACGCTCGAGTTGCGACTTCGGTTCAAATAATCAGTAATTTGTGTGAAATTGCCCTTTAAATTATAGCCAAACAAAGGAAGGTATGAGAAACCGAAGTGTAGCGTTTCTTTGTCACGTGTCAAAAGTGTCTACCAAACATGATTGTTTTTTGCGGATCTGGTTTTTAAGTGCCATTTTCCTGTGATTTCGGCACGTGTGCGGATCTGGGGTCGTAGTGAGAGTTTACGTCAAACGTATTCGATATCGAGTGCGTCAAAAATCTATGAAGATTTTAGTTATTGAAAGTATCCGCTAGGGGCGCTTGTCAATCCTTCATAAATTTACGCCCGTATTCATAAACATTACTGTGAGGTCTCACAGAGCGCGTGGACGCACAGGGTGATACATTAACCAATCATAGGTCTCTATTCAACGCTATGCGTTCGATTTGCTGCTTGTCTTAAGCAAACATTGCTTGTGAAATTTCGCATACCTTATTATAATATAATTTTTTACGCAGTCGATATTGAATACCTACGTTTGATGTTAAACTCACACTAAGCCCCCTGGTCTCTCTAATCTGTGGCGTGCGTACATAATCACGCGCGTGTATCCCAAGTAATAGGAAAAAGAAGAACGGTCACGCCCCATACAAAAAAAACCCAGACCCGGCAGAAACGAGACATACCTCAGTTTTTTTTTCATGTCTTAATTAGTTAAATTATATATTTTTTATATTCGAAATCTATGTATAACACCAAAATATTGCCCTTTGTTTTTGTTCAGGCGCTATACAAAAACTATTACAAAATGCCTATTTAACACCAAAATTGGTAAATGTATGTACCTACCTAAATGTCTATTACAGCTGCTATGGAATGTATCTAGGTGACCTGGAGATACAGCCGGATTATACAGGGTGGAAACAATAATAAGTTACAAAATCCAAAAATTCAATGTTACCGGCTTCCATAATCTGTACCCTATTATTGGTACCATTTGCAAGAGCTCGCGAAGCACTTTCAGAATCAGTAACTAGTTTTTGATATGTTGTATAGTTTAGAAATAATCGAGTGAGATCACTTATCGTTTCCACCCTGTATAATCCGGCTGTATCTCCAGGTCGCCTAAATACATTCCATAGCAGCTGTTATAGACATTTAGGTACATACATTTACCAATTTTGGTGATAAATAGGCATTTTGTATTAGTTTTTGTATAACGCCTGAACAAAAACAAAGAGCAATATTTTGGTGTTATACATAGATTTCGAATATAAAAAATATATAATTTAATTAATTAAGACATGACAAAAAAACTGAGGTATGTCTCGTTCCTGTCGGGCCTGGGTCACAGATGACCGTTCTTCTTTAAATGATGAAATATGGGCAGCCCGTATGCGGAAGATCCGCATAGATCCGCTAATTATGCATGCTATGTGTAATTTTGTACACCATGTTTTTACGCAAATAAAAATTTTGTCTCTAATTCCGCACACGTGTCGAAATCCGTATCACAGGAAAAAGGACATTTAGAGGACTTGTATTATTGAAGCACTCGAATAGAGCTAGAATGCCTTGAGGGAGCACGACAATTTTATTAATCTTGTGCGATACTAAAATTAAAGTTACCAGGAATCGCCGCTAGGTGATTTAATGGATTCTAAAGCACTTGAAAATATGTTCTTATAACCTAATCTGAAACAGTGGGCTGAGTGTGAGTTTACATCAATTTTAAAAAATCAAGTTAAAAAAATGTATGATAATTGTAGTTTTTGATAGTTTCCCGCTAGGGGCGCTGTACAATCCGTCATACATTTAAAAAATCGCGTTTGAAAAAACTCACACTCAGCCCTCTGTAGCTTATTAAAAAAGTACATTTTTTTTTTCATAATTTTATTTTGACAACACTTATGCTCTTCCAATTGTCTTGTTTATTTTTGCAAATTACGGAATGACGTCAACAATAGCGTTTAGGAATTCCTTTACGAGTTTAACAAATCCGATGCTTGAGAAATACGCCTCCTATTCAATCATGTTTGATCAAAGTCTACGTCTAGACCGAAAATGTCCTTTTTTCTAGATTTTCTTTTTGAAGTCTTTATTTGTCACACAGCAAATAGGACCTGGGACTGACAGCTAATTACTTAGAGCTAGTGAACCATTTTGAGGTGAATACAAATATAAAATACTAGAGAGGTTAAATAAAGATTAGCTGCGGGTTTTGAGAGGGAGTTTTTACGGGTACCTATTTATTTTAATTTTTCCTCTGGTGACGCCATAACATCATAGAACCCTTCGGCCCAGAACAGACGGTGAAACGCAACTGCAACGAAACTGGAACTTTGTGATGATTCTGATCAATGAAACTGAAACTGAAAGTTTCAAAGTGGTCGCGGCATGTGTGGTCTCTCAACGGACGCTATTTATTTATTTATTTATTTATTTATTTATTTAGGTTCACCATCAACTATTACATCAATATTTGCACAGACACTTTGACAATTCAATAATGTAAATGTATAGCTATATTAAGGTAAACACCGCTTACATAATATTAAATGTTTGCTAATTATTTAAAGGAAAAGAAAAGAAAACAATAAAAAGTCTGTTAATCATTACAATTTACAACTCATTCAAACATGTTCAAAAGTCTCCATGACTGCCTTTCTAAACTGTTGACGGCTATCAAAGAATATATCCACCGCCACACTGTGCTCATTCAATAACTTGCATAGACGAGGAATTGTGGACGCTATGGCAGAAACTTAGATGCAACTCAAAAGTAACTAGCAGTTGCAGTTTCGTTGCAGTTGCGTTTCAGCGTCTGTTCTGGGCCTTACTGTTTCATTCATCTTTTCAAAGTTTTCTGGTTTTTATATCTATAAAAGCAAAAGGTCACTCACTCACTCACTAATCATGAAATCTCAGAAACTACAAGTGCTAAGAGTCTCAAATTATGCACGGGGGTTCCTTTAAGAACGTAGGTGCTCACTAAGATAGGATTTTGTATTTTAACACGTACGAAGTCGCGGGCACAGCTAGCTAAACTTACTAATATTAAAAAGCGGACTTTTTTGTATGTTTGTTACGAATAAACTCAAAAACTACTAGGCATTTTTCATAAAATATTTCACTAATATAATGCTCCATTAGTAACATAGGTAATAGGAGACTGTTCTCGCAGGTGAAGTCGCAGGCAGAGCTACTGTTCAATAAAGTGTATATTGTAGCCCCTTTCCTATATTTTCCGAGTGTTGACGCAAGCCGTGATTGCTTTGGGACTAATTACGCCGAAGCAATCTGCAGTTGATAAACTAACTGTACAGTCAGGTGCAACAGTAATAAACCTTTTTTAATTCAATAATCGATATTACTATTGCATTAGAAATTCATCAGTTTGTGCAATGATTAGATAACAATTTATTATTACTTATAGGTAGTTTTTATACGTGGTCAATCATNAAAATGTGACTCGTCTATCGCAAGAAACACATGTAAGTACATGTTTGAATTATTTGTTAGCCCTGAAAAGGGCTTTTTAAAACTTTCGACGCTCCTCGCTGCAACCGCAGCCTCAGCCTCGGCCGTTGTTATGATGATGATGATGGGGTGTGTCAGTAGTACCACCACCAACACCACCATTACCCACGACAACACTGGCTCGGTCGACACAACAAGTTGCTGCTGCTGGCTGACGCGCGCGGCGGCGGCGGCTTACTTCTTGCCGGCGGACGCCTTCTTGGCCGCGGGCTTGGATTTCGGTGTTGCGGCGGCCTTCTTCGGTTTGGGCGCCTTGGGTTTCTTGGTTGGCGGTTTGGCGGTCTTCTTGGCCTTCGGCGCGGCGGCGGCCTTACCCTTGGCGGCGGCGGCGGGTTTCTTGGCGGCGGCGGCCGCCTTCTTGT